CAGGAGGTCAGGTGAGCCAGTGGGAGGGTTAATTAATATTAACCCTCAATGGCAAGTGCAATGACAAGTGATGATGGGGAAGATTTTTGGTTAAGGCCCATAAATGGGCATAAATCACTTAATTTAGGGATTTGGCTGATTTAAGTGGGTCTAGCCTGGTCCATAGGGTTCACTTGGTGGCTATGGTGTTATCAATTTGGTGGCTTAGGCATGGCTAAGTCAATTTTGGTACATGGGTCCAATTTGGGTCTAAATGGCTAAAAGTTGGGTGTGAGTTAGGCTAGCCATGACTTTAAACCCAATTGTTTGATCAACATTGTGTAGATGACTGTAATGAAGATTTTTGGTGAAGGGTTGAGGTAAGTTTAATGTCAATTAAAAGCTCAGTTTGAAGGATTTTAGGATTTTGGTCAATTTGGGCATGTATGACTAGACTTGGGTCTAGGTTGGGCTAAGGTTGAGCTAAGTCCAAATTAATAGTTTGAAATGGTCCATAGGAATGTCATAAAGAGTTTTCAACATAAATTGGGTGCTAATTTTGGGGTTAAGGCATTCAATTTGGTGGAATTTGGAGACATATCTAATTTGGATATTATTTAGGGCAAATTTGGATATTTTCAATTTGGGTTAAAATTAAATAAAATTGAGGCTTCAACAAGGCCAATTGAAGGTTCAGTTTGGTGGGTATGAGTGTTATGAAGAGCTGTTATAAAGATTTTTCAACATTTTTGGGGCAAATTGAGTAGGCTATGAGGCTCAATTTGGTGGGATTAAGTCATAGGGCCAAATTGGGGGTTTGACTTAAATCAAAATTGAGCTTAAATCCTGGGCCAATTAAGCTTGTATTTGGTTTGTATTGGTCATTTGAAGGGTGAATTTTAGTTTAGAATTGAAATTGAGAGAAATTAGGGCTAAATTGATGGACATTTGGGATGAATTTGGGAAGATTGAACCTTTATAGACAATTTGGGGGTTTTGGTCAAAATGATCAAATTGTTTGGTCAAAATGATCAAATTGACCAAATTGGGTTCAATTGGAGGGTCAAAATGGGGTTTGGAGACATTTGAAGTGATTTTAGAGATTTTGGGAAAGTTTGGAGCCCCAAGGGTATTTTTGTAATTTTGGCAATTTTGGGGGGGTATTTTGGTAAATTTAGAATTTTTGGGTGGATTTGGGTAATTTGGGTATTTTGAAATGATTTTTGAATAAACTTGAGTATTTTTGGGTGAATTTGGGAATTTTGACAAAATTTAGGGTTTTAAGGGCATTTAGGTAATTTGGGTGGATTTATGGGCAATAGGCCAGGTTGGATATTTTGTTAGAATTGGAGTACCAACCACCCTGACTGAGCTATGGACCAATGAAATCCCTTTTTGAGTCCTCCATGTACTGGTCTCAGCTAAACCCTAGCCTAAGGCTAGTGGGTCTAAAGAACCATCTACATGAGTCTCAAAAAAGATCAAGGGGCTAATTTTAGGATTGTGAGTGAATATAAGTGATAGTGAGTGCAAGTGAGTAAACCAGCTCCGGACCAACACCCAAAGTCAACCTAAGATCAATCAGTCATATGGGGACTCATCTTGTGCTCCCTCATACTGATTCACCTACTAAGTGTTAGAGGTTAGGACCAATATGTGAAACTTTAAGTTGAGCAAAGAGAAGTTTAGAATTTTTAATGGTGAGGGTTCATTTTATAGTTTTCTAAGAATAGTCAACAGGAAAGTCCTATAGCTAGACTTTAGGCAACTAAAGAGGAAGAACTAAACTTCAATTAAAAGTGAGGTCAACAACTAGTTTACTGTAGGTTTAATAGCGACCAAAACAACCAAAAGGTGAGTCATTCATTTATAACAGGTGGTTTGTCTTGAACAGACTTCTCTAATATGACTGCATTTTTTCAGATGACATTAGAAAAAATATTCTTGATCTTTTTTATGATGATTCATTATTACATGTATTTTTAATGTTTTGTGACACATTTTTTTGTAAATGTGACTGATTAAAAGATAAAAGGTTTTTATCACTTTGTGATAGTAGTATCTTAAGTTTATTTTTTTATTTTTATTGTAGTTAAGGGAACCAGCCTGAATGTGGCGAATGTCAATTGGGAATTGAATTTAATCTTCCTACATACTAAGTCATCTCATGATTCGGAAGGCTAATCAGAAAATGTTATTGAATTTCAATGGGTGAGTGTGATTGTAGAGAGTTTAGGACTAGTGTAATATGCTATCACCCGACTCAAGTCTTACACAAGCCATGTCTCAGTCCCTCAATTAAGTTGTCACTTTATATAGACTACATCTTATGTCAGGCATATTAGACAAATTTTATCGTAGTCTCCATGTGAGTAACTTTTTAAGAAGAGAATGGGGTGATTCATACGCTACCCATCATGGATCTGGTCGCTGATGGCTATAAAATATCCCTCCAAAGCTTGACCCATTCTGAGCTAAGAGAGATGGGTTTATATGATGCATAGGCATTGTGGGTCGGATCTTGTGCGATTTACAAATCAAGTTTTTGTTCTTTGTTGTTTAATATTTAGGAGATTTTGCCAATTAAACATTTTTTCCTTACTTTAGATTATTTAGGAGAATATTATCGATCATAAGTTCCATCACTGGTTTTGTTGCTCAAATAGAATCATTACTAACCGGTAGATTTGAGTTTCTTGAGCGTCAGCCAGATTTTAAAGATCCATTGCGTAGACTTCTTGAGTTTTTTGAGTGATGGTTAAGCCTGAAATCTCAAATTTGGTTAGAGAAAATTTTCATAAATTTAAACAAGTAAACATAAATTAAAGTGATATGATTGGTTGGATCTAATCATTTTTTAAAGGACCAGGAATCCTAAATTTTGAATTATCCTGGTGGCCCAGCCTTACGAATTTGTATATCTATCGAACCAACACTATCAAAGTGCTGGAAGTCACCTTCCTTTTTCATTTTGGGTTTGCTAATCTCTATTCCGGGTCAGTGCTTCTTGGATGACCCTGCACCCAAAAATGGTGTAACAATAAACCTCGAAGATGATGCGAGATGGTACATCAAAGACAATGTATTAATGCACCTCAGATACATTGTAAATCCCCATAATAAATTAAACTAAATACCCTTCTCCAGATTCTTTGCAACCTACCACTACACTGTACGTGCCAACTATGACCTCTGTGTTCTATAGCGGTCGCAAGTCCCAACTTCGGCCTCTATGGTCTACATGTGTTATTACTACTCCCTGCAAAAGCCTATGTGACCAACTACAACACACTCGGTCTACAGTTTGTTCAGCTCCCAACTCCAACCACTATGACATACAGTCGTTGTCACACCTCTCCGCCACAACATATGTGTTGCATAACTCATGCAACTCCTAACTCCAACCTCTGTGACCTACGAATGTTATTGTAGCTCACCACTACGGTCTACATTTATATGACCAAACATGATCTACGTCGTCCACAACTCATGTAACTCTCAACTCTGGTCTTCGTGGCCTGCAGACATTATCACAACTCCTCACTTGCTCTATTCACTCAGAGCTCCTACAACTTCTTACTATGGTTTATGTGACCAACTGACGCTCTTGAAGCAACCATCTACGACTCATATGGTCAAATACTGCCATGGTTTTTAACTACGACCCCTATAACAAGTTGTTGCTGCAACCACCGTTTCCAACATTCACGGTGGACTACTACCTTCATAACAATCGATTACGACCATTGCAACCTATTTGGAACTACAATTAGTACAACTAGATTACAACTATTATTAATGAACTACGGTTGTGCATCTATGATGATCAACTTTGTAATTTCATTTTCCATAATTCAGAAGAAGAGTTGACCTATATATTTAAACTTACATAATGAATTATTTCAACTTGGCCATACCACCTATTTTTCTTCCTTTTATAGAGTTTCTAGGAAAAAAATGAAGTGTGTCATCTGCTTATTTCTCTTTTACCCGAGTTTGTGCAAAATTTTCATTCATAACAAAGATCCTAAATAATCACTCCATCACTTTGGACCACCCGAAACTTATCAGTTATATATAAAAACTACGAGTGAAATGAGTTTACATATAAAAATTTTGATATCATATATTTCCTATTTCCAAACATTTTCGTTCTTAAGAAGAGGGGTGAGCATTGGATTAATGTAGATGAATCAATTTTCAAAATTACAACCAAAATATTAAATCCGAAAATCCGAACAAATCAAAATTTTGATAAAATAGAACCGACCTAATAAAAATTTAGCTCATTTTAAATGATTTGAATATGAACAAATCGAAACATAATTTATAGTTAAGAGTTTGATTAAAAACAAATTTCAAGAATTACATATCTTAAATATGTAATATTAATTTAATTTCAAATTTTTTTTACCATTTATAAAACAACGAATAATGAGATTTTAAAAAAGTAAAACTTTGAAATGCATTGCTCAAATCGAACCAAATCATTCAAATTTATTTCGTTGTTCAATTTTCAAATTTAATCTAGGAACAAGAGTTGTTTCTAGATTACATCACAAATTGGTTCATCAAAAACAAAACTTATTCTGAAGCAGGAGAAATCCGTAAATACATTAATGGAGTGGGGTGGACGGCAAAAAAAAGACTTCTGCAAAAACCTCCCTCCGACTGGAAAGAAAAAATCGCCCTAGAATCCTCATCCTCCCAATTTAACTAATCCATGGTTGAGGAGACGAAGATCCGAATCTGATCAAGGAATGTGATCTCCTGCGGCCTATCCTTCCGCTTAACGTACCCAACCGCTTCATCGGAAGAATAAGCGCAGATCCCCTTTTCCCCATTCCTCCTCCACATCTTCTCACCAAAGCTCTGATGTGCGAAGTAAGCTTCCGCCTCCACCACCAATCCCTCCTCACCTCCTTCCTCGCCGCCGATCGGCAGGCGAACGGTGATCGGGAGTCTCTCGTAGTGACCGCGGGAGATTCCCTCAAGCTCGTCAACGAGAGCGATCGCACGGCGGGAGACAGCGTAGAGTTCACCACTGACGAGCTCACCGGCGCCGGGAATGTTGATGAGGAAGGGGACGCGGTAAGGGCCGCATACAAGGGGGTATCGATCGGCAGTGAGAGCGATGCCGAGGAAGGCAGCATCGCCGGCGAGGATCATGTCCTGGATCAGCCTGTGGTTATAGAATCCTTGTTTTAACGTACCGTAGGTGAAGATTACTGCTTGATCGTTGTCCGCTGTTGCTGCCCCCATGCTTGGTATCTTTCTTAGAATGGATGCGAGAGGTTTGGTCTTTGTGGGTTAGGGCTTGGTAGGAGATGGGAGGGATGATAAGCTGGAGAAGGAGCGAAGAACTGACGTAGGGGTCCTTAGATTTGTCGCGAAAGACGTTTAAGGTGTGGCTGGTAATGCGTCCATTTTTGTCTTTTGGCTTCCAATCGATTTTAGGGCCATCTTATGAATTGATGAGTTTTTTGAGGTGGTGAAAACCGGATGACATAAATAATTAATTAATGATATATTACATGTAAATATTAATTAAAAAGTAAACAAAATTATTTTATAAAACATAAAACACGCATAGAAATAAATTCAATAAATTTAATTATAAAATTTTTTAATATTGAATGACTAATCTCATAGTTGTAGCAAATATATATATATATATATATATATATATATATAGTCATACATATATATATATATATCATTGAAACCTTGTATTTTATATTTTTTTCATTCAAGATTTGATAATCTAAAATAAAAATGTAGGGAAGAGAAAATTAAGATTAATTAAAAACCTAACGAAATTTGAAAGTCAATATCAGAAACTCTTCTCTACATTTCTCTTATAGCATCAAATATCATTGTGGGAGATTAAGGAAAAAATAAAATATTACATTCCTCTAAAACACTGCTCTATTTTAATCACACAATTTTATTTATATAACTTAGTCACATTATTTTCTATAATAAATCAAATAAGCTAAAATAAATGTTAAGATTATACAGAAAATAACAAAGATCAGCCCAAATATACATTATAATTTTAAAAATAAAAAATAGCTTTCATATTCCTTTCTTCCACCAAATCATTCATGAAAAATAATCTAATACAGTCTAAAAAAATGATTATTAAAAATCGTGGTTGGTTCAGTGTTCGACCTGTTCGAACTCAGTTTTCATTAGTCAAATTCCGGCTATTTAAAATCTAGTTGTCTCAAGCATCCAGACCAGTTGCCCAACCGATTCACGATCCGACCAGCCAGTCCAATTCAATTTTAACAACCTTGTATTTTTCTTAATTCTCATTCCAATATCAAAATTTGTGATAAAATTTCAACCTGTATTTTTTATTTTTTTATCAAAATTTTAATGATTTGATCGTGGTGTGCATAAATGCATCTGTTCGGTAGTTCAAAAATTTACCTGGGTGTTTGATTTGAAAATATAAATATTTCAGGTGTTTTGTAGGTAATTATCTTTTTTTTTACTATTTCTAACTAATATGCTATGCATTTTATAATTTTTTATCTTCCAAACAATGCCAAAATTTTAGCTCAAAATCATAAATTATTTAGAATTAATTTGAATTTTGTCTCAGATTAAAATTAGATTGAAGTAAGAAAGTCGTGCTACGAGTCAAAATTATGATTCTAATTTCTTTCGACTTGATTTCGAGTTGTACGTCGATCAATTTTTCAAAATTCTTCATATGATTAATAAAATATTAAATAAATGACTAAAAATATTTCGACCAAAATTTTTATAATGATGATCTGAAAATTTTTAATTTTATTTTGAGATAATTTGTAATATAAATTTTAATTAATTGTGCATGCACTGCGTTCATTTTACAATAACTTCAGTAATTTGGAGATTTAAAATGATCAAATTTTGGCCATGATGCTCAAAAATCTTTTGTTTTCTATCAAAGAGGAATTTGTTGGGCCAATGCCTTCTGGGCTTGTTTAAGCATGGTTAAACACCAACCCGGGCTTTGATTACATTTTTTATTTGGATTACATTCTCAAAGTAATAATATGCTGTGTGAGAGAGATAAAATGTCAGATGATTTATGTGAAAAGGTCTGGACTTGTTTGATAAACTGTTTAACATTATGTTTGCTGTGTTATTTTCTTAACGAACTTAAAGTAATCTACTATAAAATTGTAACTAGATACATACACTTTTCCCTTGGATTATAAAATATGGAATTACAATGCTGGTAATAACAAAATTATAATAACCAACCAAGTTGAATAGTCGTAATTGAGCTGTAATAAATGTAGTTCTTAGTGATAATAACAAAACTGAGTTGCAAAGGTCGTAGTTGGTTGCTATAAATGCAATAGTTTGCCACAAAGACCGGACTTGGTAGCTACAACAACATCAGTTAGTCACAGAGGCCATAGTTGGCATTGCGGTAGCAGTTAGTTAAATAGGTTGTAGTTGTGGGTTGTAGTAACAATAAGCTAGAAATGACCTGGTCTATTATAAAAACATAATTAGAATTAATGTAGCGGTTAGCTACATATATCATAGTTAAGCACATAGGTCATGATTATTAGCTGCATTAACATCAGTTGGTTATTGAGGTCATAGTGGAAGGTTGTAATGACAACAGTTGATCACATAGGTCATATTGGATTCAAGCGTTTATAACAAGTGACCACATAGGTAGTAGTGGGAAGCTAAAATAGCAACTAATCACATATGTCGTAATAGATTACTGCAAGAGCATCAGTTAGACGTAGACTATAGTGGAAGGCTTTTATAATAGTAGTTAGTCATGTAGCTTGTATTGGGAAGCTAAGGTAGTAACTGACCACATAAATTTTCGTTAGTACTACACTGATTGGTGGCTGCAACATTTCTCGTGTTCATTATTATACTCCAGAGACAACATTTATCGGTATATGACATATAAAAAATTTCAGAGGTCTGAAGGAAGTCACTACATTATGAACAGGACAGATGTATGCAGTTATTGTTAGGAGTTATCATCAGATCTTTAATATCACGTTATTTAGTACATTGTATCTGGAATACTTCTTTAAATCATATTTGAGATACTTAATTACCTCATATTCGAGATAATTTGTAACATCATATTCTTGATAATTTGTTACACTGTATTTGTGATACTTTGTTACCTCATTTTCAAGATACTTTGTAACAACGCATTTGAGATATTTTGTAACCCTGTATTTGAGATACTTTGTTAGACCTTATTCGAGATACTTCATTAGTCCATATTCAACTTACATTGAAAGCAAAAATTGTTTGCAAATGACGATGAGCATAAGTGGCCAACGTTGGTCCAAGGCGGATGGTGGCCGGCGGGCAGTGGTCGACTGTGGCTGGTAGTTACAAAGGCCAAAAGTTATCATCAGGTGGTTTTTAGTCCAAAATAGCGTTGAAATTCAACTCCTGCCTCCCTTCTTCCCTTAAACGAAGAGAGATAGAGAGAGAGAGACTTTGGTAGAGAGGCATTTTGGTTATTTGGCGAATAACTCTCATAACTAATTTATCAGACAACCTATCCCTCTTGATCATAGGGGGTTTTTTTAATGATTTAAGGGCCTTAATTATCTCAAAATTTAACAAATTTGTCTTGATGGATCTGTTCATTAAGACACTTGGCTTGACTATAAATATATCAAATTTGGAGTTTGTTTGCCCATTCAATCAATATTCTGAAAATTCCAAATGAGTTTAAATGGATTGATCTGATCTTGATTGGACTCGGATTGGATTAATTTTGGTATCATCAAGTTTATCTTAATGCGACACGAGACAACCAATTTAACTATAAACTTGCTAGTATCTGAGCCCTAAATTATCTTTAATTTGAATCAAAATATTTATTATTAAAAAAATTGTCTCGAGATTCATGTAATAACGCATCAATAATGACAAGATGTATAAAATATTCTGCCCCAAAATATAATGTAGTTTGATATGTAAATCTTCAGGTTGAAATTACCGTGCCTTTTTAATTTATTAAATCTAATAGAACTACCACTGTAAGTAGTTCTATTATCTGGTCACAATACAGAAGACTTATGCAAGCTTCTTTAATACAATTATAATGTGTTTAGATACATAATGTCTTTGATACAATCATAATGTCTTTATATTTATAATTGATGAATGATAATTTTAAATAATTTAATTTACCACAAAACTATAAAGATTTATAATCAATTAAAATTATTAATAAAAAAAAGAATAAAAATATTATTAAATAATATTTAATATATTTACATACATAACACAAATTTCGTTTGTATTTTCATATATATCTCACACCTAAATTTTTTTCTCTACATAGATATCATAAATTTCTTATGTATTTACATACTTCGCACCTAAATTTTCATATTTACAAACATAACACAAATTTCTTATGTATTTACATATCTCACTCCTGAATTTTTATATTTACATACATAGCACAAAATTTCTTTTTTATTTATATATCTAACACCTAAAATTCATATTTACATACATAGTACAATTTTGTTATGCATTTACATATCTCACGTCTAAATTTTATATTTACACGCACAACACAAATTTCTTATGGATTTACAAATCACCACCTAAATTTTCATATTTACATCCTTAGCCAAAATTTCTTATGGATTTACAAAACTCACACTTAAATTTCTATATTTACATATATAGCGCAAATTTCTTATGGATTTACATCTCATATCTAAATTTCATATTTACATACATACCACTATTTTCTTATGCATTACTTATCTCAAACTAAAATTTTATTTCAAAGCATAAATTTTCTTATGCATTTACATATCTCATGCCTAAACTTAGGGAAAATTATAAAATCCATATGCATTGCTCACCTAACAATGGAATACGAAAAGAATTAAGCAAAACCTATGTATTTTTGGATCTAACACCAATGCAAGGAAAAAGAAAGATGAAAACTTATAAAGATGAAAACTTATGCTAAACCAAAGCTTGAAGGCGTGGAAAAAGATTTCGCCACTTGGACGGGATTGGATTGGTGAAACGGAGCTGGATTCACAAGAGAAGCTTAGGAGGCGACAAGGCAATGAAACGAAGCTGAAAGAGAAAGAGCGCAAGAAGTAGAGCTACGGTTTGCGAGACTTCTATTTAGGACTCTAGCGTCGAATTTTACGCCGGCCATAGCCGACACTAATAATTGAGTTTAGCGTCAAAGGGACACAAAGACTATAGTGTTGAATTAGCGATCTCGGCTCGACTCAACTCGCTAGAGTCATTTCTTCTGATTTTGGGACAACGAGCGACGCAAACTAATGCTAATCGGTAGCTAATTTCACGTCGGAAATATTTCTGATGCTAATTCGGAAGTTAATTAACGGTTTCATGTAGTGCCATGAATAGTGTTTGTGTTTTGCATGAAAAAAAGCTCGCGTT